ATCCAGTCGCTGATCGTCCACAGGCTTCAGTTCGCCGACTTTGAGGCCCAACCAACGCAGAGGAAAAGGAGCGTCTGATGACAAAGAGGAACTGTAATGAATATTGTTCGGATGGTGTAGACGGTAAAAAATACCTCTATAGGCTTACAGGAAATTCGCCTGCGAAAAGAGCTCGCACGCCCGGTTCTCTGGCACGGGCCTAAATCGCATGGACATCGCACATGCTCGATTCTAGGTTCGCCTTACGGTCGGCTCGCCAGCACGAGTTAAGATCGATCAGGAATTCGCCTTTCACTCAACTCGTCTGCCCGAGTCCAGAGTCGAATCCGCCAGCAAACCCCAAGACCGTCAGTATAGCTGGGTATCCACTACCCCACGTGCTGAGATGGACCTTCCTATCTCTCTCGACCCGAAGGGAGAGAGAACACAGTACCCAGGACCGTCAAACGGCCGCCCACAGTGCGCACAGCGCGAAGGACTGGACAGGCGTCGAGTCAACCTGAGCATTCATAAATGCGACTCACCTCGGCTGTCTGAGCCAAGAGCTGGATCCGCCGGCACTCGGCAAGCTGGCTAGACCCACTCGAGTACTGTACACCTACTTCACCGCCTCTCCTGACCGGAAAGGAGAAAGCACCGTGCTCAAAGCACGCCGGGCGGTCACGCACAGTACAAGTGATCGGACAGACACTTCATCGATCTGCGAACTCATAAATGCGGTTCATTAATGCTGGTCAAATCCACTCGGATAGCAGTCGTTTGTTGCCTCACATACAAGAATGGGCCTTCCCATCGTAGGTGACAGGACATAGAGCACAATCCCTGGAATGACCGTTCATGGTATCGAGGAACGGCGAGACGTCTCTGAAGAGGATGTGGTCACATCCCACAATTCAAGGAGAAGTCAAGCTGTCCTTCTTTCATTTAAAAACCCCTTCCAGCACGATGGAAGAGAGGTCGCAAAACTTGGAGAAAAAAGAGTTGAGACCAAGCTGTTAGCAGATCCTTGCATTACAGCACTGCTGCCTAGTTCCGAGCTCCGATCGCCGATGAACTAAGCAGACCCGAACTCTATTACTCTGAGCTTCTACTGCGAACTGAAGCTCTCCAGCAACCTCATTCAAATGGTCCAAGTGAAGCAGACTCGACCCGAGCATCGAGCGAAGCGTCCTATAGCCACCTAAAGTCCCCACACAAAACAAAGAGGGCCTTCCCTCTGCTTCTGTTGTAAACATTTGATTTGTTAGTTTGTAATAAGCTTTCTTATAAATACAAACGAAACTCCTTTCCTCGGAAGAATCAAATTTTCACCCTACAGGCCTAATCTTGCCCCTACATCACACCTCGAAGATAGAGCCTCAACCACCCTTCACCAACTTCAATGTAGATGTAAGGATAAGATTAGGCCACATCACTACCAAGTTGTTTGAAGCAACTTGATACCAAGTTTCTCCATTTCTCTCTCTCTCTCTCTCTCTCTCTCTATATATATATATATATATATATATATATATATTTATATATATCTATATATATATATATATATATTCTATATAATATATATATATATATAATATATATATATATAATATTATATATATATAAATACATGGGTATGCTTGGCACTCAAGCATTAAATTTTGTGTTTGGTAAGTGAAGTGCACTTCCCCTCACTCAATTCAAATGGAGGATCACATTCCATGGGTTGAGGAGTTTATGGGGATATGCAACATTTTGAATGAGTTAGAGGGCGGATGTGACACCCCACTAGCTTTTTTAAGGGCACATATTTTTGTGTTTGAGACCAAGCCATACTCAATTTTCTCATGATAAGTAAAATATAGTATATAATATATATATTATATATATTTATTAATATATATATATTATATATATATATATATATATATATATATATAATATATATATATTAATATTATATATATAGTATATACTATATTGACCAGAAAAATCATGAGCTTCAAAAAAACATGATAAACATTCAATTTGCAGTGGTAAACTAAAGAGAGCAACTATAGTTACATAGCTAAATAGTTAGGGTTATCTAGATATTAGTCCTGAAATTTTCAGTAGTTATATATTAGTCCCTCAAAACTTTGTAATTAGTCGCAAGTCCATCTTGTCCTAAGGGTTCTTGCAAAGAAGATGAAGGACAGAAGTTTCATGGTCAAAAAATGATGTAATTGATTTTCTCTTAGTACGAGGGATGAAATCATGTTATTATACATATTGTCTAAAAGAAAAGGGAAAAAACATTTTCCTAAAGGATTCAATTTGGGCTATTAGAAAAAAAAACATTTGCTTTAACTACAAAAATATGGATACCTGGATGTTGCTCCCCTTCTCATCCATATCATTTGATTAGCCAAATCTGAACACTTCTTTCTATAGTTGCTCGGGGTCGGGGGTAGTTTTAGATGAATAGTTTAATTATCACTATTCTTTTTAAAGATACAAATTCACTAAATTTGAGAGTATATATGGAAGAATTTTTTTTAATTTCAGTTACAACCTATTTGTTGTAATAACAAAGTAATTTTAAAAGGACACATAAGCAAAGAAGTCCTTGGCATCACCATTCCAAAGCTTGAACCGCACATATCCAGAATTCCATCGCCTAGTATATCTATATGTAACTGAGAGAGCTTTTCTTAAACATCAAACAACATTATAGATCAACTAAATCAGAAATTTTAGTTTATATAATAAAACATATACCTTTGTTTTGGTTCTCAACTCCTTAACTCACAATTCCAACAAGCTCTTGATCTTGCAGGGCTCCTTATTGGCTTTCGTATACTCTGACATTGAGGTAGTTGGTTGTCTGTAGTAATTTAAAAAATGAAAAATATATTTTTTCTGACAATCAACCAAAATTGTTTTTTTTTTCATAAGGCCTAATTTTAACTTGGTTATAAGGTGCGCACCCTTCTGTTCAATTGTGACCATTCACTAGCTTCTCTATTATCTTTCGTAAGCTCGCCGACAGCTGATCTTGTGATTCTAGTTGCAAATTTGAAACCTAGGATAAATTCAAAGGTAAAGTTGTAAGTTTTTATGCGAGATTTGATATCTGTTGATTATGAGAGATAAGGAAACTATGAAGAATGAGAGGTTGCAAGTGATTGCATTCGAGTGGCTCCAGCTTCAGTAGCAAGTGACCCCAAACGGATATTGGGAAATGGCTCAGCTGCTGTTGCTCAAAATTGAGCTAAACAAACATTGTGAGAGTCGCCTGTAATCCCAAGCACTCACCATGATCAAACTAATTTTAATTGAGAGAGAAAGATGCAAGTCCTCCTTTGGAATTCCAAGCACTCTCCATTTTAATTGATTTTAATTGAGAAAGCGTAAACACCACGTCTCCACCTTTAAAATTAATTAACTCTTCATAATTTAATTAGCTGATTTTAATTGAGAGAGAAAGCCATAACTCAATCTTTGGAATTCAGAGCAAGCAATTTGGTTTAATACATTACCCTCTATATTTTAGTGAACATAGTAAAATTTACAAGATGTTACATAATTGATTTGAAGGGGGTATGGTTTTGTGTAATTATTACATTTGATGATTTAATTAATTAAACTGGGTTGCATATTTATTTGAGTGCAATATGGTGATTTGAGTGAATTTTGAAGGATATTTTGGGAAATCAAAAGTTTTGACACTCATCTTCTCTTTTATAAATAGTACTAGTTTTTATGCACGTGCAATGCACGTGGTTAAATATTAAAAAATATTGTTTTATATTTACTTCATTACTTTAAATAAGTGAGATTTATCTTGAGTTCAAATATGTATAATTGAATTAGAAGATTTATTAGTATTTTATTTAAATATTAAAAAAAATGTAAAGAAATCTAAGCTGAACTTGGATGAATATAAGTATCTGGGATATTGTAATTGTTATTATGAATTTTAGTTTTAGTAACGTAGAAAATATTTCAAAAATTTAAGTTTATTCAAATATTTTTTAACTAAAAAAGCTAAGTTAATTGTTTGATTTACTGCAAACTTGTAAATTATTTTTGTTCTAAGAATTTTTAATTGATCACCACCACCAACACCTAACAGGAACTTAATTAAAGTATGAAAGTAAATCTTGATAAAATTTGGCCTCTTATTCAACATGGCAACAATCTTAACAAGTAATAATTAGTAAGCCAAGTTTTTTTTTTGAAAACAAAGAATATTGAGGTTTGTGACAACCCCAAGCAAATTCATCACAACAATAATTCTTTGCCAATTGGTTAAAGAGGCCACATTTATATCATAAATGATTGATCACATTCTGCGCTATCCATAGACATTAACAAAATATAGTAAAATGGTTAAATATCAAAGTGTAATTTTATGTGATGTAAGCAATCACATAAGCATACAAAACTACTAATAACTCTGCATGAAAATACCTTATAAAAATTCCTAATTGTAATAAAAAAATAAGTTGTTATATAAAATGATTAAAAAATATTGTTCTTGAAAATTTCTAATTGAACGGAGATCAATCTTTCTCCACCTTTATCTTTTTTCTGGGCAACTCTAGAGTAGCACCTTCATCATCTATATTGATTGTAATATCAGACTGGAGTTGAATTTCTTGTGCTATTATATTGCCTTCGCCTCGTTCATCCTTTGTCTTTTCATCTAACTTCACCAGGAATTTGAATGTTTTTCCGATGTTCAAAACAATTTTTTGGAAATATGGACTCTGATTATTTTTCTGTTGCAATGAGAACAAATGTTATATTAATACTTATGAATTTGTTTATTTTCTAATTTACTACTTGAATAGAGTTAGGAATTACCTCTTTCTTTTCTGTAATGAATGTTTCTGCTTTGCATCCAATAAGAGTTTCTGCTGCGTCAAAGAGTGTTACTCTTGCATTATTCGTGCCATTTTCCACGAGAATCTTAACTAAGTACCTGTATTTTTTATTGTTAATTTCTAAAGACAATTAGTATTGCATTTTAATATGTTCATGGTATTAAAAAAGATATTTTACTTAACCTTGGTACTGGGTCATCAATGATTCTGCGGCATTTGTCATTCAGACACTCTTTACTAACATCTTTATCAACCTTCTTATCACAGCCTTTGCAAGCATAGAACCATGGCTCGAGCCTATTTAAAATAGTAGTTATCTTTGCCTTAAATGTGCAATACCGTGCCTGTATATTCACAAAGTTTAGTTAGATTTAAATTTGTAGATAAGAATATGTAAATAATATTGTACCTGTATAGAATTCTGTGACTTATGCATAATATCACTAATATGAATTTTCTTGGCATTTTTAAAAAGCGTTGATGGAGATCCTTTTGCTTTTGCAGCTTCTTCCAATTGAAACATGCATATTATATTAACAAATAATAATATTCCATTATTGGGTTATATGAAAGTTGCATATTATATTAACAAATAATAATATTCCATTATTGGGTTATATGAAAGTATGCTTGTTCTGCTTACCATTCCCTTAATTCGCTAGCTAGTTCTATTTTGCTTACCATTCCCTTAATTCGCTAGCTAGTTCTATTTTTGGGTTGATGCAGAATGTTGAAATAATTTGCGACGATATGCTTGTATCCCCTGCAAAAATGAGAAAATTATAGGAGTAATTTTATGTTTAGCTATCTTTAATAAAAATTTCAACAATAATTTATGTACCTTGATATATAGAGATTTTAAAATCTGTTAATGCTATTACAGGCTTATATTTGATTTCTGCTTCAATAATTGATCCTTCATTTGTAGCTAAATCTCCAAATAAAGTTGCACGCATTGGCATTCCACTGCATATGAAAAAGAAAGAATGTTAATATTTTTTCTCTTATGATATTGGAAATAAGTAACATGAATATACCTCATATCCATAAGCGTGATTTCCCTCCTAGTGTCTGGTTTGTTGTGTCTTGTAATATATTTGATCGCCGGCTTAACATTAGTTGTTATTGCGAGAATATCTGCAAATGATTTGATAAAAAGATTATGATTCTATAGATTAATATCTCATTTTGTATTGAAGATTTAAGTAAGAAGTTTGTAATTACTTACTAATTTTTGTTGCATCTTTCATGGAAAATGCTTCTTCAAATGGGACAAAGTTGTTAAATATGTTCTCCAGGTGGAATCCTGTTGGTGCTTCTTTGATCGATACGTCTTTTGTTAGTACTAATTCAAGTGACTTGTGGATACTTGGAAAAGCTGAGTTTATTCCTTTCACTTCTCCATTTGAAATGAAAATAATTTGATTTTTTTGAAGCATATCTATAAACTTTTCGATAGTATCTCCGTACATCACTGCTTGTATTTTGTTACCCTGCAAATATTATTAATACCAGAGATCAATGCATGGAAAATATAATTAATTAATACTAATCTATATACTATATGTAAACAGGGAAACATCAAAAAAAGCCATTCTGATAGTTATCAGTGTTTTAATATAATTTACCGATTAGAAAATGAGATTTAGCAATATTCATATGATCAGATGTAACGTTGGGCAAACAATATAATATTAAAAATAATTTTATTTTACCTTTGTGTCAGCAAGAATTAGCTTTAGTATTTTCTACTGCCATCACATTGTTTATTTATTGATAAGAGAGAGGGGGCATAAATTAGGATTTTTCTAAAAATCCTAATCCTAATTTGTACTGTATCGGATCGGAGACCAGAGAGCTGACACTCGAATTGACAGAGGGAGAGGATTCCTACTGCCATCGAATTTACAGAGGGAGAGCGTCCTTTATAAATGGGAGAACCTGCAACAATCAAATCCTTAATCCTCAAAATTCTGCAATAAAATTGAAGTTATTTTTAAAAAAAAATTAAATTGCCTTAAAATGTAATTGCAATGTAAAACAAATATCACCATCACCATTAAATCAAATACACAATATTTCTAAAGAGTAATTATGCATGAAAATATATAATAAAGAAACATACACGTTGAAGGAGATGGAGTTAGTATAAAAATTGTGTAATTTCTTGGTTTATATATAGGTACGAGGTATTACATGTGATAGGATAATAGTCATAATTAGAGTTTTATTAGGATTTGAATTATATTACGGGTCTAGGTGGGTTGAATTTGTGTTATGAATTTACTTCTTTCGGAAAAAAATGTGTTACGGGTATAAGAAATGTCCAGTTAACATCTAAAGCAAGTTATTGGCTTGAATTTGATGTATTAGGACGTGGATAAGATCAAGTTTAGTTGAAACTCATTAATTACATGGTCATCTACTAACCATTGGATTTTAATTGGATAAGATCAAGTTTAATTGGGATAAGATCAAGTTAATAATTATTAGTTAAAAAAGGCTCTAAAGAATATTCTCAGGCACCACAGGCTACGACAAACATGGAGGTGGTCCTCTTAGGAATTGTGAAGCATCCAGATGAGGCTTCATAAGATGAAAGCCTGCATTTTTTTTATACACAAACATGTACCTTCATGCGTTCATAAAGATTTCTAGTTGAAAATATCATAAATTTATCAATACATGTGTGCATATGAATACGTGCTGCAATAAAAAAAATCCGAACCTATCAGCATGCAAATGCATGCGCACGCGTGAGCACACACAGTTAGAAAATATCAAACATGAAGATTTATCTTGATCGGTGGGAGAACTTGCAAGAATCAAATATTTAATCTTCTAAATTCTGCATGAAAATTGAAGTAATTTTAAAAAAAAATATCAATTGCCATAAAAAGTAATTGCAATGTAAAACAAATATCACCATCACCATTAAATCAAAGACACAATATTTTTAAAGAATAATCATTGAAAATAAAAAAGACACTTACATGTTAAAGGAGATGAAGTTACTATGAAAATTGTGTAATTTCTTGGTTCATATATAGGCATGAGGTATTGCATGTGATAGGATAATAGTCATAATTAGAGTTTTATTAGGATTTGAAGTTCAATCAGGGATTTATATATAAAGTTATTAAAGTTATTATAATAAAAGTATTACGGGTGCAGGTTGGTGAGTCTACAGATAAGAATGTAAGTTTAATCACGAGTTCAGATAGTTCAGGTGGGTGATAATAAGTTCAATCGAGAATATAATAAAAGGGAGTATGATTCATTTTTAAAATAATATCTCATTCCTAAGGGAATTGTATCTTTGGCCACGTTGGTGCATGAAAGAAAACAAAGTTTTTTTTAACTAATAATTATTAAGGTAGTTCAAAGTATAAAAGAGTATATTTGTCTAAAAAAGATTTTCCGAATTCGTGCTTTTAAAGGGAGTATGATAGTATAATATAATATAAATATAGATAGATAAATGAATCAAATCGTTCCTTTTGTACCAGACCAGTATGAATCTCGTGTTTATCTACAAAATTAGTTCTTAAATGCTTGGTGATAAGATATCCATCTATGATTTACAAAACAGTTGAGCATCCTAAGATATATATTCTCCTTAATTATTTCATCATTCTTCATGATGGTGCCAATTCTAAGTCTTTTTTCCTTTTTTTTCCGTTTGTGTGGAAACTAGAAACTCTAGCCACCAAACTCTATCTCATTAAGCACATGGTTGTAAATACGTACATGTTTACACCGCCCCCACCCCCCCCAAAAAAAAAAAAAAAAGGCACAACCCCCCCCCCCCCCAAAAAAAAAAAAAAAAGGCACAACAAAGGTGTAAACAAAACCCATGCAAGTCTGCTACATATAAAATCAACACAAACACCGTTGTGATCTAAAGACATAGCCAGATAAGTGTTCTCTGGTCAATACATGATAAGTCTAAAACCAATCAAAAAATCACTCGTCTGGACAAAAGAAAAATAAGACTTAAGTATAACATTATATTCCATTGATAACATCAATCTCCCCGTCGTAGCAGTTGTTTTTTTTATAAAAAATGATAAGATTTCTTTCGTATCATGCACACCATAAAAATACTACACAGAGAGATTCATTTCAACTTAATATCAATATTCAAATCAAGTAACACTAGTAGAATAATAAGTATCCTAGACGGATTATTACAGACGGAAAATTTTCCGTCTATGATACTTTATTCTAGATGAAAAATTTCTGTCGAGGAAATTCCGTCTACAATATAATATTCTAGACGGAAATTTCCCTCTGGAATAGTATTGTAGACGGATTGTTTTTGTTTAATTTTTTGTTTTGAAATTTACCGATTATCCTAGACGGAAATTTCTGTCTAGGAAACATCCTAGACGGAAATTTCCGTCTAGGTTGATGGGTTCAGTTTATAAATCAAAAAACCCACAGATCTGGCCCCTAAATCCCCAAATCGTCTGGCCCGTCGCTCGCCTTTCTCTCTCTCATCCCCGATCGTCTGGCCCGTCGTCGCCTCCCTCCTCAGATCTCGTTCAACTTCCTCGCCGTCCCGGCCTCGTCCTCCCTCTCCTTTGACCGCGCCCGTCGTCGCCGTCCCGTCGTCGCCTTCCCGTCGTCGCCTCCTTCCTCGCCGTCCCGTCGTCCCCCTCTGTCGAAAAACTCCGGCATGGTGAGGTTAGCTTTCGATCTAGCTTGATTTTAGAAATTCAATTGGAGTTTTGTGATCCCCGATTAGATATTGACAGCTTTAGTTTACTCAAACCCTAGTTTTCTCAAAATGGGTGCGTATAAAAAGCAAGTTGTGGGAAGTTTCTGGACCTTAACATGTAACTGACATGAGGTGCAAAAAAATTTGATGAAGTATCTTACAATGATCTCTAGTTGAGAGAAAAAGATGAAAATAAGTAGAAAGGTCTATTTTCTTATCCTATTTGCTTGCTTTATATCTTTTTGACTATGAAAAGGAGAGAGAGATTTGGTCCCTGTTCAGGATTTTGGTGCTACGATGTTGAATACGTAGACTTTGTCGTTATTTCTTCCCGTGTTACTTGAAACACTGAAAGAAAGTTGGAAGCGCCAGAGGTGTAATATTAACTTGGCATGAATTTTCACTTAGAGTGAAATTCAGAAATTTTCTTTATTATCACTCGGATAATTCCAGAAAATATTTAATCCGTTGGGGTTTTATAATGACAACTTGCTATTCTTGTTGAAAAATGATTAACAAGTTCATTGGGGGGGTTGACTGTTAGAGGTGTGATGTTAACCTAACAGTATTTTATGGACCTATCGCTCTATTAAGGAGAGTCGATAAGTGGATTTTTTGTCAGAGGTGTAGTGTTAACGTGACAGGATGTGTGTTGCGATTGGAGCAACTTTGTGGACTTATCATCCTATTGACGAGGATTGATAAGTGGATTATTGTCAGAGGTATATTGTTAACGTGACAGGAATGTGTTGCGATTGGAGCAACTTTGTGGACCTATCGCTCTATTGGGGAGAGTCGATAAGTGGATTTTGTCAGAGGTTTAGTGTTAACGTGACAAGATTTGTGTTACGATTGGAGCAACTTTGTGGACTTAATTAAGTGAATTTTGTCAAGGTTTAAGTGTTAACGTGACATGATTGTGTTCTGCGATCGGAGCAACTTGTGTGGACTTATCATCTATGACGATGATTGATAAGTTTGATTTGTCAGGGTTTGATTGTGTTAACGTGAAGCAAGATTGTGTTGCGACGGTGAAGCACTTTATGACTTATCATCCTATTGAAGAGGATTGATAAGTGGGTTGCAGAGGTGTGATATTAACTGCAGGATTGTGTTGGCGATAGAGAGCAGGCACTTTGTGGACTTACATCCTATTGATTGAGGATATGATAATTGATTTGTCAGAGGTTTGTGTTTAACGTGACAAGATTTTGTACGTTGTAATTTGAACAGGTTTGGGGACTAGCGTCTCGCTGGGGAGAATTGCTAAGTGAGTGTATTCATCAGAAGCAGATGATTGATTACTAAGATTTGAATGACTTAGTGTCTTGCTGGGCAGATTGTGATTTAGCAATTTGTAGGAGCCTATCATCCTATTGAAGAGTGATTGATAAGTTGATTGTCAGAGGTATATTTGTTTAACGTACAAATTGAGAGTGATGCAAAGTGAATGCATTACTCTGTGGGATGATGATCGTCAAAGTGAAATATAACTCACGATCGGAAAGATTTGTTACTCTATCTCAATGGATTTCCAAGTAACCAACCCCAGTCTTGATGTAAGACTTAGCAGGGAATAAAAAGAGTTAGACAAGGCACATCACCTAGTGGACACTATCCATGAGTCGGAAAGAGGCACATCACCTGTAGGCCATTATGTTGATGAGTTGACTATTAGAGTAACTGTTAACTGATATGTTTTGTGACCCGCCATCCTACTTGAAGAGGTTGGTGGCGGGATTTGGGTGAGGAAATGAA